GGTATAAAACCATGCGTTTCCAATTGAACCTCATTCCACAACCAATAAAGAGAAAACTTCTAGCAATACATTATATTTTAATGGGCTATTTATTTAATTGGTTTTAGTTATAGATTCAATAATATTTAGTCCTCCGTCTAGAATGTGAGATACACTTCAGCTTTTTGAGAAAAATAATACAGCTTGTCTTGGAAGTGGAGCTATTGAAAGCTCAATAGCTCCCCTTAGTGGTGTCATGCAAGAAATTCACCAAGAAGTCTCCTAAAGACCTCTGCGCACATTTCTAAACATTCAGAAAATTGTGAACTGATACTCACAATTTGAGTAATTCCCAACAAATAAATTCTATCTGTGATTCTGTGGAAGCAAATTTTTATAGCCCTATTACATTTTAAAAGGTAATTTAGCATTTTTTATAGTTTTCATTTTTCACTTGGAACTTAAATAATACATAATTTAGGAAGAATAATTCAGGACTGTTTCCTTCTCTCTTTGTTCTTTTTTACATGTTTATTCCTTTTAGTTCATATTTGTATTTGAACAGGTTTTAAAAAGACAACCTGCAACTAATTTTCATTTTGTATCTAAGTGTCTGTTCCAAATGCACCTAATCAGAAAACTTGCCTTAAAATTAGTAGCTACAGTACGTCAAAAAACATACTTTATATATATAAAGAAATTAAATGAGAAACCATATGATGTGAAATAAACTTTGAGAGTATACATTTAAAGAAATTGGACCTTCTATTGGTTTACAGCTATGGGTCTTATTCTTTACTAGAATAAACTCAGGGTGAATTTGTTAACTACAGGTTCCTGGGCCCCTCATAAGACCTACTGAATCGTAAGCTCCAGGGGTGGGGCCTAGGAATATGTATTTCTCAAAGTCATCTATGCTGGGAAACCTGGCCTGCAGAAGGCCCAAGGAGGTGCTTAGATAAATGACTATGTATTTCTGTCCTAATAGGAAATAATTTCAGTATCTCAAAAATATCACCTATTCAATCATGTGATACTGATCTGCAATGAAATCTTAAATAATATGTGGCTAGACTGATCTGCACAGAGATTTTAGCTACTCTTTTAAAAGTTAAGGCTCAACACTGGGTATTATATAAGACTGATGAATCACTGACCTCTACCTCTGAAACCAGTAACACATTATATGTTAATTGAATTTAAATTTTAAAAAAAAAGTTAAGGCCCAAAAATAAATACCTGTCACTGTGTACACACCCTTTATGGATTCTAATTACAAAAGTGCCCCTGAAATAGGAAATAAGGTCACATGTCAGGATATCCTATTGGCCTTTTCTAAACTAGTCACAGAAACATCCAAACTCTGCCCTACTCTCAGATTCTGATACTTGCCCTTTTCCCATTTTCAGTATCACTGATACTCAGGACAAACTCCCAACATGGCAAATGAGTCCTGTACATCGTTCCAGCTTCTCTGAGTAATGTCCTATATTTAGACTCTGATCAAACCACGGAAGTCTACTTTTTCAGTTCCCCGGATTCACTGTGTCCTTGCATGCCTTCATTGACATACTGTTCACTGCCCGACATCCCCTTTTGCCCTCTTCGGCCTGGCAAACGCTCACTCATTCTGTAAGGCTCAAAAACATCACCCCATCTGGGGAGTCTTTCTCGATCTCCGTTGGCAGAGGTCAATGCTTTCCTTGCTGTGCTCCCATTAGGAGCTTGCACACGCCTCTCTCTATTTTACCATTAGTTTGTAACTACAATTATTGTGCCTATCTCCATGTCTCATTTGTATCCCCAAGTTGTAGCACACGTTTTGGCATGGAGTAGAAGCTTAATTCATATTTTTGTAATGAGTTAATAACATCAGCTTTCATTTTTCCATGATTAATGTGTGCCAGGCCCTATGCTAAGTGCTTTACAAGCATCTCGTGTAAACTTTACAACATTTAGGAAGTAGTAATGATTATCCACAGGTTAAATATCAGCTAATCCTGAGAGATACCAACAAATTGCCAAAAGTCACACAACTAGTTGGTGGCAGACCTAGAACTTGAGCACTGTGCTTTTCTGACCATAAAAACAGCACTCTTAAACAAATGTTGTACCATAAAGGCTCAGGTCGCACTTGATTGCTAATAGCAATTTCTCTTGGATGGTCTCTATCCGACATCAACCTCATACCTGGAACATCGAGGGATGACGATCATTAGAACACTCTACCACCCAATTCTGGTGCATGTGTACTCATGCATAATCAGTGATATTGATTGAATATCAGTGATATTGATTGATTGATTTGAAACGCAAACACGTATATAAGATAGTGATAAGTTTTCTTAGTTTGCAAACTTACCAAAAAAAGTATAAAACAACTATTGACCACATCAATAAAAAGTCATCAGAATAGAAAAAGAAGTCCCCTTTAATGAAAACCTTACAAAATTTCCCAAATTGCACGTAATTTTTAGTGGATTGCAGCCACTCTCCTGCATTTCTATTTTATTTCTTGGATGAGAGGAAAATATATTATTTATGCAAAAGGGTAGTTAGTGTTTACAACCACTAACACATGGTGTGTAAAAAATAATAATCCCGTTTTTCTATTGTGCAATAGCCCTCTGTTGGGCAACAATCATGTACAATGTGCTAGTTTCCTGTTACTTTACTAGAGCCTCCCTTTACACTCACTGCCCAGACTAAATAGTTATTCCTTGGCTAATAAAACTATAATACTGAGTTTCATGCTACTTCCAAAAATGTTTCTGCCTGTCTTAAGAATAGTCGTATCAGTTTGCTAACAAGCAGAAATGCACTGTAAGTTGAATATGTTGTCACATGTGGCTAAAAAACGTATAAATCAATCTGTGGCCAAGAAAGAAACAATATATTTCTTATGCGTTCAGAATATTATGGTTAAGATCACAGCTGTAAGACGTTGGACCATCATCAAGAGAACAATGTCAAACACTGAACTTTTGGATAATTTCCATAAAAATAACATTTTGTTTGGGGTCAGTAGTTTTTATGGAACTTTGGAATAATTTTCACTGACAATTTTTTTTAGAGTTGAACTTGAACACCTCCAAAATGCTCCTCAAAATGGAAATACTATGTAATCTAACTTTTGTGACCAGGTCCTTCTGAAAACCAAGCACATATCATGAAAACCAGCCTTTCTCTCTTTCACTTTGTACAGTTTCATGAAAATTAAATTATGCTGCATACTCAGGAAGGTAAATTTACTCTTCAGTTTTCTCTGTTTAATTACCAAGTTCAAGTCATCAGCACCTCAAATGTGTAATAATTAAAGCCAGAATGAGAAAAAGAAACTAGATTCCTTCCTCAGAAATTTTATCAATCCAGCAAATTCTTTCAAGTGAAAAGAATAATGGCATTGGTCAATCAGTGTACAACTAGTTAAGCTCTAGGCACAATGTCTTTTTAGAGTCCAGAATTTGGAGGTGCATTATGTTTAGCCCAACAAGGCAAGTTTTCATAAAGTAGTTGGAAGATTTTATAAATATAGTCTCAGACAAAGCTCGCTGTGGCATAAAATCATTAATCCAAGGAGATTTTGTTGGCCCGGGATACATATGCGGTATTAATAATATTGCTTCCTAGGATTCTGTAACCAGAGCTCAAGAAGAAGAAAGCCAAACCACTGTATTCAATATTTCCAGCCTATTTCAGGACATGAAAATATTTTGGTTCTCTCATACAAATAAATTCTCCAAAATACTTTGTCTAAAATGATTTTTTGCAGACAGATACTAATTTCAAATTTTACATGGCTCAGTCTGTGGGGATGCACATTATCAGAATTTGTCCCACATCAAGGAGTGGTTGGTTCCTAGTTTTCATTTCCTATGATATTGACTTAATTCAGTAATTTCTTATTGGAATATATATACATATATATAGTGATGGATGCTACTAAAACCATGCCTTCAAAAATTATTTTGCACTGTAGACTAAATATATATATATATACATATAATGTTTAAATGATAATAAAATGCTTAGTTAATTCACTGTCTAGAAATAAATGAAAATAAGAAACAAAACAAAAAAAGAAATAAATGAAAACAGTCCATCCAATTTGATGCAAGTCTCATGCACTTTGCTCAAATTACTCTCTTCCCCTAAAACTCTTAGCAATTTTCCAATGCCAACAGAATGAAACTCAGTTCTTCTCCCTGCCTCCAGTCTACCTTGCAGTATGCCTTTCCACACCAAAACCTTTAAGGTCATGTTGATTCCACTTTTTAAAATGCCCCATACTGTGAATCTGAACTAAATCTACACTTCAAACCCAGTTCAAGATCAGGGATCTCCATGGAATCTAGTGTATATCCATTAAATATTTGCTCATTTGAGTGAGAGAGACACAATGTTCCTGCCTGCATAGCTGATACCATAGGGTTCTTGATAAGTTATAGTTAGCACTCTGCATGTAATTGCAAAGGAAATTAATTTCAACATATAAACATTTGCGTTGAAATAAAGTACAGTTATCCTGGTATTTGCATATTTGTTATGTAAAGCAATTCTCCTTTAGTAGATGGCATGCAGTTATATCAGCAGATTGCAAATATGTAACTGCTCCTTGGAAAAATTTGAATACAAAGTAGTGCCTTAAATAGGAGTCAGATAACATATACACATTAAAAATTTCTTATATGGCAAGAAATCTATTCAAAACTTTATATTAAATATTCGTAAGTAACTACCATGTAAAATAATGATCAAACTTATAACTATAGAACCTTCTACTGTCCAAAACTATCATATATTAATTGTTTCATTATATTTTGTGATCCATGTTCACATTTCTTGAAATATGGTACAGATTTCAACAAAACTGGCTGAGTGAATGATCTAAATGTTAGATACTTGGTATCTATGGGTATGATATCCAACCTAAGAGAAATTTAACTCATTTTTTAAAACTTAGAATAACCAAATAGAACATGATTGAATGTATTTTTAAAAGGTGTATTCTTTCATTTCAGGGAAAAAAGGAAGGGAGAGGAAAAGAAAAAAACCTAATAAAGAAGAAAGTAAGGACGCAATACCTGATAACAAAGGTCTGGAACCCAGCAGAGAAACTCCAGAACAACGAGAAAACAAAGACAAACAGCAGCAGAAGAAGCGAAAGGTCCAAGATAAACAACAGAAATCGGTATCGGTCAGCACTGTACATTAGAGGGTCCCATGAGATCGTTGTAAACTCATGATGCTGCTATCTCAACCAGATGCCCAGGACAGGTGCTCTAGCCATTAGGACCACAAATGGACAACGTGTCAGTTACTGCTCAGTCTCAACAACATTCCAAATAGTTGCTATAGTCTTCATACAAGCATAGTTAACAACAAAGAGCCAAAAGTTCAAAGAAGGGATGTTTTCAAATGGTTATCTTACAGGCTTCTGTGCATTTCTAAGAGACAAGAAATTTTGTACATAATTATCAATAGGCTATAAGATGTAACAACATAATGATGACATCTGGAGAAGCAACATTTTTTCCCTCTAAAAATCATTTTCAAGCTATTGCTTTAAGAAGCGAAAGATAGTTCTGCAAATTCAGAGATGCAGTATCCCTTCAAAGTAAATAAGAGATCAGGGAAGAGAAGCATCTTTCAAAGTATGGTGTTGTTTTGTCCAGGAGATCTAGAGAGTGCTTAAATATTAGGGCCTGGCATTTGTGATCATAGGAATTATCCCCACAGAAACGACTGTTTTCAGATCGGTTCTATTGCTCTCACCATGTCCTTCTGCAAGAAACAGGAGAGTGTACACCAGAGTTAAGCATTATGTATGGGATTGGAGAAGGGCAAAATGTGGAAGAAACCATGGCGTTGGAGATGACTTCTGTGCTTTACAAAACTGTGAAGGGTTGTGATTACCTGGAACAGGTCTCCAATCGATGTCAGCACTGTGTGGTTCAGCCTCTGCTACCCCTCGGGTTATAGAAGTCTGTAAACATGGACCTGTAACTTCCAAAAGCAAAATCATACTTATTAGAAGAAAATTCTGATTTCATAGAAAAACAAAAACTAGAGCAAGGAGAATAGAACATGTTTGCAAAGTCATGTGTGTTCTGAGTGAAAAACAGTTTTATTACCTGCTTAATGGTCCACCTGGAACTAAAAGGGATACTTCTTTCTAACAAGGTGTATCTAGTAGGGGGGAAAGCCACCACAATAAATATATTTGTTGATAGTTTTTAAAGTTTTGTTCATTTTGTTTTATTGTTTGTTTTATTGGAAAATTGTTACGCTTACGAACTCATGAATTAGGAAAGGGAATTCTGTATCCTATGTAATCTGAACATATTACATTTCTCAATGCTTGCTTTTGGAATCCACCTTTTGTAAGTAGATAGAGATTTACTTATAGGATATTAGGAGATATTTATTCAACTTTTCCCTTAATCAACAAAATTCTAATTCTAGGTGCATAGGCCTCCCGAAATGATTTCACTGCTCCCCCTTCATTGCTTAGAAATTAGCATCTTTCCTTGTATGTCAGTTCCTCCTGCATCTTGAACATTTGGCCTTCTCTTCTCCATATTTTCTCAGTCTGTGGATCTCTTTTGGGGATTGAAGTCACCCTAGCTGAAGCCCTCACCAGTGTTTCACAGAAGACACAGCCAGCCCAGGGCAGGAGGAGACATCTCTGAGCAAGCAGCACCGAATCTCGTGGCCCACCTTAACCTTCCTCTTGTAGTGGAAGGATGCACAGCTGCTCTGCCCACCATACTTCCTAGCCCTCTAAAGATCAATGCTTTCTGAAGAACTGGCAATGGAATCTGGCTTCTGGCTGCCTATCTCTGGTCACTCTTTTTCCACCAACTGTACTGTTCATGTGGACTGCTTGGCTTAATTCATTTTTCACTTCTCTTGTTGTCTTCCAAGATATAAAATTTTTGAATGATGCATTTCTGTTTCTCACTTTGGTGTTTTCTTTCCTAGTGTGCATGAGATAAGTGTTTCAACTAACTAGATCTATTCCCAATGTACAAAAATAATTCTATTTTCAACTACAGCTTATATCACCAAGGAGAAATAAACCTTTTCCTACAAAACTATATTATATGGAAGTATATTCCCATGTTCTAGAACTTTTGGATGGCTTCAGACTTCCTCTTTGTCCTCAATCTTATCTAGTCAAGCATAAGCGGCCAAATTATTTGTCTCTTTCTATGTTAATCATTGTCTCCATTCTTTCAAAAAGCAATTACTGGCAAGGTCTAGGCATGCAAATGCAGTGCTGGAAAAGAGTTAAATCAACCAGGACACAACAGTTGTGGCAATGACTATCATGTCTTCCTATGTGTTTTGACTTAAGACTTTTCTGAAATCCTCCAGAAAACAGCAGACAATCTAAATCCTTGATGCAGCACTTAAATAAAAGTAGAATTATTGCAAAGGAAAGAAATAAAAAGTAGCACTAATATTCATACTTTTGGGGAAATATAAATGAAGGCAAAGATAACATCAATTTTAAATGTACCTGTAATAGATCTCGAGGCACATGGAAACATTATGATCTTCAAACTGGCAGCCTACTCAACTTTGAGCAAAAACTCATGATCAACTTCTGGTAAATTTCCCACACTAGTCACAGATAGCATTAACTCTCTGCTCTGATTGTCTCTAGGATCTGGTGAACCATTGATGGTAATGGATGGCTGGTAAATTCTTGATTCAAAGAGAATCGAAAGAGGGCAGCAACATAAATCTGGCTATGTCTGATCCACACTCCTGGTCTCCAAATTTTGCTTTATAACTGAGGGGAGGTATGTCTTCTATAGTCAAAGTAAGGTTCTAGTCCCAGATATTAGCCATTAGCAAATCACCTGAGTGTTTTGGGTTCCCATTTTCTTTTTTTTTAAGATTTTATTTATTAGAGAGAGAGTGCGCAAACAACCTGGGGAAGAGGCAGAGCAAGAGGGAGAAGCAGACTCCTCTCTGAGCAAGGAGCCCAATGTGGGACTCAGCCCTAAGACCCTGGATCCCAGGACCCTGGGATCGTGACCTGAGCCGAAAGCCAATGCACCCACGCGCCCCATGGGTTCCCGTTTTCTTAAGTGCAACCTGAGAGAGGTGGGCTGAAGATGATTACTGGCAGGGGAGCATGTGACCTCTCTGTTAGCTCAGGGTGATGCCCGTAAGGAGTCCTTATCAGTGGCAGTGTCCTCTGGGTTCCTCAACCCTGCTTTTTCCCAAACGTGAAAATGTTTCGGCTCATAAAGGATACAGATTGAACTCTGATGTTATTGAATTAAAAGTTGTTCACATTAGTGGGTATTAAAATATTGAAATGAATAACACTGAGAAGGAAAAAAAGGAATATATAAATACAACTTACACCAGAAAGCTTTCAAAATATCCTCACAAAGGGAGATCTCAAAGAAAATGGGAGGTTCTCTATAGCTGAAGTTAGGCAGTCTGGGTTAACATCCCAGTTGTGCTACTTAATTGTCATAAACTGTGTGACCTTGAGCCAGTTGTGTGGGCTCTCAGAGCCTCCATTCCTCATCTGCAAAATGGAAATGGCAACGCCTACCTTGGAAAGTTGTTAGGAGAATTGAAAGGCTCATCACTCAATATAAGAGTAAACTATTCTGTTTACAAATAAGTATCACTAAAAAGTAATGACTCATTTCACAAGTCACACATATAAGTCAGTTTTATTTCTTGAGTAATAATAAGTGATAATATCCATGTAAATGTACACATGTAATAATTTCAAGGTATATATGTGAGAATCACCAAAATGAAATCAGTAATAGTAACTAAAATGTAAATACCAGTTTTGTCTTAAAACCTCTCAAAATTGAGATACTACTCATTCCTTAAAGTATGCATATGCATTTTATCAGTGAACGTAAATAAAAACACTCCATCTTTCCCATGGATATTTTAATAGAAGAGGAACTGACTAGACTCTTTCTCAAAACAATGGCAACTATTCTCCGCAAATTAGGAGAGAAAAGTCCTCTTTCTAAGGCTGATTTGTTACTTCAGAGTTCATCTGGAAGCCAAATCTATCCAAATCTATTTAATAAAATTAAATAAAGCTGGTGGTCAGATCAGTTGAGACTTTTCCCATTGCAATCATAACACTTCATCTCACCAAGTTAGATGTACTACTTTTTACTATATTTCTAAATTAGGAAAAAAGAAAGAAAGAAGACAAAAGAAAAGTGAACCTCCTTCGTGCTCGCCACTCACCCTTTGGCTAAGTTATATTATGTAATTGTCCCAAAAGCAGTATGAGAGAATTACTGATCTCCTTATTTTAAAAATGAGGAAACTGGGGCACAGGGGAGTGCCCAGTGTCACGCAAGTAGCAACAAGTAAGGCTGGAGGTCCCTCTCAGCTCCTGCTGACTCCAAAGCCCATGCTCTCTCCCCTACATCATATCCCATTAAAATCATATTTATTATTATTTCCAAGAATGTCCATGACACACATTATGGAAGTATTTTCCTGTGATCTGAATTAGCACCTCATGGAAAAGAAGCTAAGAAGTCCAATCATAGAGGCCTTAACCCAGGATAAGAGTCAACTCGGAATGTGTGTGTAAATGTGTGTGTGGGCCTGTATCTGCATCTACACAGCTGTGAGCTGACATTATTTAACATTCAAGGAATTTTCCTCCTGTGATAACTTCTTAGAAGCAGATCTTGTTTATCACTAAGTTTGCTCCTACTGATCTTTCTCTCATAGTAAAAAAAAAAAAAAAAATGGTTATGACTCACTTTGGGAACACGCCAAATACTACAGGAAAATAGATTTTAGTTTTATCCAAACCAGCAGTGAGAATAATTTATGATTCCAAAAAGACATAGACAAGAAGAATCCACTTAGGAAAGGGAGTCATTTTCATGCAAATGAATTCTAACTTTCTCGATTGCCATCCTAGTCTCCTTTTAAATGTTGGAGTTTTTAGCATGGGAGGGGAAAAATGAATTATTGGGGTAAACCAAGATTTCCAGTTGTTGATTGTGGAATATTTAAAGTATAGCTTAATATACAACATGGGAAAGGGCCAAGAGAATAGAGTTTAATTTGTATATCCATATGATCCGATCAAATTTGAAACGGTATTATTTATAGAAAGAAGAGATCATTAGAAAGTGCTGTTCTAGGTCTCCAGATTTCCAAATTTATTATGAAAATTATCCTTTCTGCAATCATGAAAATAGATTGCTTGGTCATAAACATTCCTGCAATCCAAAGCAATTTGAAATTTAGACCATAGCACCATCCATTAATGAGGTATCATTTAAATAAATAAATAATCAAAGTATAGATTCTGCCATCCTTATTGTATAGCTAACTAGCAACAGAGCCACCCAGTTAGACTTAGTATTTTCATATGTATAGGCTCCACAGATATTTTCCTAAAATTTTCTAGCAGGTCTGTAGGTAGAAGTTAAAGGCCTTGTGTTATTTTGTAATAATTGTTTTACCAACCTTTGCATCCATAGTAAATATTAATGTCTTCCAGTCTGTACAAATTATAAGAAGACATAGTATTGCTTTTGTAGTTATGGAACTTTATTAGTTTTGAGGCCAAAAATAATCAGAAAATGTGAAAACACAGAAGTCTAACTTTACAGAGATAAAGTGATTTAATTATCAGTTTGAAGGAAAACACCTTTATCTATAAAGGCAATCATGACTGAACCACAGCACTACCCAGCAAAACTATACAAAATTTAATCACTAAGTTAAAGGTGAATTGAGAAGAATGCTTCCGAAAACAAATTCATTCCCAAATCACTTCTTAAAATGTAGAAAGAAAAATAATACTAAAGGAGAAGAAAATTAAAAGTGGAATCCCCTATATATTTTTTTAAGATTTTATTTATTTATTTGAAAGAGAGAGAACATGAGGAGTGGGGTAGAGAAGAGGGAGAAGGAGAAGCAGCTTCCCTGCTGAGCAGAGAGCACACAGCAGGGCTGGATCCCAGGACCCTGGGATCATGACCTGAGCAAAGACAGATGCTTAACCGACTGAGCCACCCAGGTGCCCCCACTTATATGTTTTAATTTACAAGATGAGGCTTCAATCTTACTGCAAAGTGCAGCACGTCTGGTTCTAAAGATGCCACACCAGCCCTAATCCCAAACTGTCTTCAGTGCTTCCCCAGGCTTCACTAGATACCGCATTCCCAGCTTCTGTTTTGCAATGCCCCCAGCGTGGACTACCACAAACTCAGTGCTGGATTTCCCAATAGGAAGACTAAGCACACTCTGAGGGACTCCACAAAGCAGAGGTAAGGAAAACAATTTCGGGGGGGGGAAATTGCTGTTTTATATTACAAAACAATTTTTGAAAAAAAAAAATGCTATTCAATATTACCAAAGTGGTATTGAACTAGTCACAATGGGAAAAATGAGAACTTTGTTGAACTTTCTCATACTGGTGTTACAGTTTAATATTGTTTTATTTTGCAACACAAAGGAAAAGGATAACAGAATCTTTCAGCAGGGGGCCTCCACAACCTTGACAGAGCTTTACTGAACAAACACAGACACCTAGTGCCCTGCCCTCCCCTTGCCCAATAGCCAGTCCTCAGCCTGGTTTAAGATGCACCCGTGATTCTATCAAAAGTCAACTAACTTCTCTGTATCCTGGGAACCTTGGGACAATCTCCAGTTTCACCTTTGACAGGAGCCAGATTCGTAAGCAAATGTACTGGAGGCCCAGCCACCCACTCCCCCTTGTGTTTCTTTCATTTCCTGTGTAGAATAATACCTCCAGGAACTCAACTCTTTCTCACAGGGTAAATCATGCAAAACCTTATAAGATTAAAGGAAAAATAAAAGGAAGTCCTTATAACGAAAGGAAATAAAAGGAATAATATAGAACACACTACAGAAACCCAGCCACACGCATTCTTTCTAGTGCTATGTAGCTTAACCCACACCCAAAGTAAATTGTCTTCACTTCAAGAAGCTGCCTATAAATAAACTGACCAATGTATCTTGAAAACATAGAGGTCTTGGACTGCCATAATAAACATTACAAAATA